TTTTCTCATTCTATCCTCTGGAAATTAAAACGAGAGTTCCTATTCGTTCAATTTAAAAATGAAAGCACTTTTCGCAATCAAAATGTGCAGCGAAAATACAGTAATTAAAATACAAATAAGGGGATAATAAAAAGAAGACCAATCCTCAAGTTACGATTGTGCACAAACTTGAAGTTGATTCCAGACAGCATGCGAAAAAGCATGAAAGAGTTTTAATATTACATATTTGTATTTTAATCTCTTCAAACTGTCCAGCAGAGTCTGTCGCAGGAAATTTTTTTTCAATTTTAAATGATCAATGCGGTATTTTTCACCTCAGCCGCTTTTCTTGGAATGCTGACGCAAAACGAAATCCGCGTTTTCTATGTGTCATAACTTAATTGACGCAAAAATTGCGAAATTTACAAATTTGCTGGACGAATTTTCGGTAAGTTCGCATAAAGTTTCGGTAAGTTCTTTCAGGAAATTTATTGACCGAAAATTGAGTAGGTGAGAATCGGTGGCAATCACTCACCGCCGAAGAAAGCTGTTTCTCTGAAGCCGAAGTCTGTGGCTCCTTAGAAACGGACTTGAAGTTCTCAAAGGCTTCGCCGACGCCCGATGCTGTCGGAAACTTTTCCTTTCTGGGGTTCAAGGGGTTCTTGGAGGACGAGGGGTCCTTGACGGAGCCGAAGTCTGTGGCTCCTTAGAAACGGACTTGAAGTTCTCAAAGGCTTCGCCGACGCCCGATGCTGTCGGAAACTTTTCCTTTCCGGGGTTCAAGGGGTTCTTGGAGGACGAGGGGTCCTTGACGGGGCCCGAACCCGACGCGATTTCGTTGTCTCCCGATGTCACGTCTCTGCTTACCAAGTTCTCGGCGACTGGGATTCTGTGAAGAACAGGAAAGCTAGTAGAAATTAACGATCGAATGTACAATTGGAAAAAAGGAAAGGAAATATCCAGGAGAATGAGATCAATTACATTTTAAACTTCGGGTAACGCAGCGACTTGAATCCTCGATTTTTCAATAAGTTGGATGGAAGGAACATTTCTAATCAATTCCTACAGTTTCTAATATAACCCTGACTTAATTATGCACTCGAAGCTTCAACTCGAGTCATTTTCAAGGTTTAAATTCAGGTAAGTGATTTTTTGATGACACCCTGATACGCATTCCATTCATTTTTATCGCCAGAGTTCATTTCAGCTGAAAAAATTCACTTGAAAATGCGCGAAATTGTTTGTTACAATCTGTTGGATCGCCCAACACACATACATGCCTCAAACAGGAGTAATGAATCAATTTCTTCAGAACTGACATTTATCTCGCCAAAAAATAAAGTTTTGCAACAATTTTACAGTATTTGTACGTACTCAGATGTAAGGTTTTATAAGTGAAAATTAGATTAATCAAGCCTTACACCTTGATTGCAGTTTTTAGCAGAGTTTTCAAATTTAAGGATTTTTAGATAGGAGCTGAATAAATCAAAACACGGCAATTGGCCGGGCGCAAACTAACCAGGATTTCTCCCTACTAGCGCAGACCTTTCTTTGATATACACACACACAAAGTTAATCACACACACAGTTTGCACAGAATACAAGATATACACACTCAGATATACAAGAGTCACAGCAATCAACAACAATCAGAGATGTAGGATTTCAAGTAGTCCAGAAGTGGACTTGATTTCCNTGCACAGAATACAAGATATACGCACTCAGATATACAAGAGTCACAGCAATGAACAACAATCAGAGATGTAGGATTTCAAGTAGTCCAGAAGTGGACTTGATTTCCTTTACAATTAAAGTTTTGTAACTGATTCAAGTTCCCAATTTGATAAGGTATTCCCACACAGCTTTGAGAAGACAAATTAAGAAGTACGAGTCCTGGTCTTGACTAAAGAGGGTTGAAAAACCGAGGGAAAAAAGCAAAGTATTGAAGCTTTCGATTTTGCGATGTTTCAAGATCACCCTGAGAGTGGAGAATTTTTCTAAGTACCGAATTTCAAATTTGAAGAACACAACTTCAGCAGTTCGACCTTCTAAATTTGACTGTGTCTGTTACCCAATTTTCTGGGGTTTATATACAGTTTTTGCACCAATTTTGGCAGGTCCTCCTTGTTTGCGCAGATTTGAAAACACCAGGTGGTAGCATCTGCTGTTTTCGTAAAGTTTTCATAAATGTGTATTTTCCCGAAAACCGGGTGGATGTTTTACAATCTTTCAACCATTTTTTATATTAGTTTTCTGCTGGTAAACATGGGTCTTGACAGTTTGCAAAGCTGTTAAAACTATAAAGTTGCCAGTTGAGCATTTCTAAACTCGAGTTTTTGACAGCTCGAGACGTCTCGAATTCAGGAGACAAATTGTTTTACGATAGAGGAGACAAGATTTTTTGTCTCTCTCTTGACAGCTGGTTTGTGTTTTCGCAAAGTCTTGAGGGGTCAAATGACCCCAAGTTTTCAGAGGAGTCGATGTCCCCCTGTCAAAAGGTTGGTGCCGACTTTTTCGGCAATTTGTTTCATCCTGTTTCCAGGGATTGCTCTCCTTTTTTGGCCTCAAGGGTCTTTGTTCTGCCAATTAATTTTGCGTTTTATTTCAGGACACCCCTTTTGCGGGAATTGGTTTAACTTTTGTTTGTGTCGGTGCATCCCGGTGATGCGCCAATTGGATTACAGTTTTGGCTCCAATTTGGCCCCTTGTTTCATAGAGGGACCGCAACAAAATTCCCCACAAAAATCCCCTGCGTCCTTCAATGACCCTCTTTTCCGGAAGGGGTTAATTCAAGACGCAGCAAAATAAAAAGGGTGCAAATTTTCGCAAAAAGTCACAGTGTTCAAATAAAGATCGCCGAGTGCAGGAGCTCCTGGTGTTGGGAATCGGACGTTGACTTTGTCGTCAGGTTCTTGATTTTGGTGATGCTCCCGGACGAGGTTTGAACTTCTGTTGTTTGAAGTGCTTGAAAAGAGAGAGTGGTTTTTTAGTTTTGAAGAATTTTCAAGTTTTTCACAAGTCCAAGGGCAGGGTAGCTAATCCTGCCCGACTCGTTTCTTGGTGGTTTGCCTCGGTGCTTCGAGTGTGCCATAGTTGGCGAAAGTTACTTGGTACTTTGAGTGTGCCACAGTCAACAAGAAAATATTCGGTTAAATTCTCAAGACCAAGTACTTCTGGTCAAAATAAGTTTTCTTTTGGCTGGTCCTCGTAGGAAAAAGTTTCCGTTTAGAATTTTTTGGTCATCACTTCGTGTTAAATGTTTGAGAGGATTAGATGTCGCTTCTCCGTGTTCAGCTCTTCGTCAATTTGAGCTTCTTCAATCCTTCAGTGGGTCTAGGAACCAGTTGATTCAGGGCTGAATCAGAGGTCCCCCCTTTTAGCGGTGGTCTGCCATCTTAAGCCTCTTTTCTCAGTTGGTCTTTGACTTGCAGTTGTTCCAGGTCTCGTTCTCAGTGTTGCTCTTATTTGCCAAAGCCGGCGGAAAATAAAATTTTTGTAAGGAAGGTGTTTGGAAACTCAGTTACCGGTCTGGAGATTATAATTGGTTTCTTCCAATCAGTAGTTGAGTTGCTGAAAACCCCCTTTTTCTGAACCGTTGGAACTGGAAGAGGTTTTTTCAACCCCATTTTTCAAACCACATTTGGTGTTTCTTGCTTGGTGGCCAAGGGGAATATCCTCGTGTTTTCAGTCGAAGGTATCCGCCACGTCTGTCATGTAAGAACCTCAAGAGGTGGTAAAAAAGGTGGGTTTGAGTATATTCTCGTCAGTGTGCCAATTCTGGCAGTTTTTTTTTAGGAGAAATGCATGTTCGTTGTACGGTGGGATCTCGGAGCTGTTCTTGACTGAGTCCCACTTCACGTTGTTTGTGAATTTTTTGCCAAGAATATTGTCGGAGTTTCGGCTTGGTTGTTTTTTTTGTTGAAAAAGTGGATCTTGGTTTTGATGAGGTCGAGGATCCAAAATGTTAGTATTTTCCCCAACTTTGGGATCTTTTGATAACCGTATTTGGTATTGAGGAGGGCTGTGGGAACTGGTACCCTAGTTTTGGTTTTCTTGGGTAACCGTCTCCTCCACGGCTGTCTTCAGTATTGAAGCTTTGACAAAAAGGTTTTCATACCTTCGTTTGGAATCTAAAGTGTGCCAAATTTGGCAGTGGTTGTGTTCAATATTGAGGAGGGCTGCGGGGACGGGTACCCTAGTTTTGATTCTCTTGGGTAACCGCCTCCACCACGGCTATCTTTGGTATTGAAGCTTTGGCGAAAGCTTTTGTATCTTTGTTTAAAAATCTAAAGTGTGCCAAACTTGGCAGTGAATACCTCTTTTATTGATTTGGTTTTGTATACGGTTGATGGGGCATTGGACTTGAGTTTGTTTGAGATCAAGTCTTGCCCCCATTGATCATGTACCGAGCCAACTCTGGCAGTAAAGGGAGTGTTTGTATTCCTTCTTTTTGTTTCTTTCATTTTGCTTTGAATTCGGTTGATGGGGCTTTGGACTTGAGTTTTGACTAAGATCAAGTCGGTCTCCCATCAATCATGTTTTGAGCCAACTTTGGCGATATGGGGGGGGGGGGAGTAATTGGATCCTCTTTTGGCTTTTTCATTTGGTTATCTGCTTGGTCGTCAAGGGATGTTATCCTCGGTTTTTCAGAAAGGGATATCCCCATGACGGTCGTGCTTGATGCCGTAAGTTGGCTGGTAAGAATTTTTGCAAAAAATTAGTAAGTTTTTTTTTAGACTTGTTGTTTTGTAAGTGTTGAAAGGGACAGTTAAAATCTCAGGTAGAGATTAGAGGTTTGAGGACTGACCTTTGATTTCCGACTGGGATCTTGATAGTTTCTTTTTGTTTGTCAGTTTTATTTTGACTCTGAGGTTTTGATTTCTTGTATTGAGATTGGACATTACTTGAAATGAGAAAATTTTCTCTTTTTTGTTGGCAGAGATGCTTGTTCCCTTACTTTTGAGGAGACTTTGCAGTTGAAATTCTAGATTCATTAATCAATCAAAAAGACAATCAAAAGAATGTCCGATTCGGAGAAAGTTAATGAGCCCTTTGATGTGGCAGAATCGAATGAGTCTTACAGTGAGGCTCAAGGGGAGAAGGAAATGGAAGCAGATCTTCCTATATTAATCGAGGACTCAGATGAGGAAGGAGAGGCTATGGGTAAGTTTTTAAAGAGACAAAGTCATTGAGCGTTACGAGGACAAAACATCTCACTCTTTTCTTTTGAATTGAAACTTTTCAGAGTTGGGGGAGATTAAAGATGACGTCAAACTCTCGCAAGAGGTCCCCCTGGATCACAGTTCTCCTGGTGGTTCTTTAACGGTTACTTTGCCAAGGTCTGCTGTGGACCTGGCCAAAAAAATTTCTTCGCTTTCTGAGGCCAGTCTTCAACGCATTGGGGATTTTCTTCCATTTCTGGAAAACGAGAAAAATGCTCAAATTGGGAGGGATGGTCTTAAGGCTGAACTCGACCGTCTTCAAAAGGAGTCTCAACAGTACGCTGAGCACATTTCTTCTCAAAAACGTATTTTGCAAAAATACGTTTTAGAGGAGAAAGAGATTTCTGAGAAGCGGGAGAATTTAGAAGAATGTGGGGAGATCATGGCAGAATTACATGAACAGGAGGAGAGTCAAATGCTTCAAGTAGAGGCTTCCATGAGGCGCCAGATGGAACATCATTCAGGCGTTTTTCAAAGCGCTCTTAGTGGAATCCCCCAGGTTTATCTGGCTGAGGGGATAGGTTTCACCTCCAGTACGCTCAGTAAGAATATTAAGTTTTTTGTTTAACATTAGTTTTTACTCGATATTGATTTTATTTCTTTTGACCTCCTTTTTATCTTAGAACTTACAACTGGGGATCTTCAGGTGTGGACGGTTGGTGAGACTAAGGTCTTTTTGGGGAGCGTGGAGGCCATGCAAGAGTACTGGATGGAAGATGCCAAGTTCGCGGCGACTCAGCGACGTAACAAACAATCAATCATTAATTTACTAAAGCAGTTGAAGACCCCTGAAAATCTGGCCACTGCTAAACGTCCTCGCACAAATGAGGAGAGCTCTGTTGTTGAGGACTCCCAGGCTTTAGATGCCTTATCAAAAAGAGTGAAGACAAAGGGTTCTGTGCCTCTTCAAGTAACATCAGCTTCAGTTAAGAGAGAAGTAAAGCAAGGGGCTTTTGGCTTTGACATGGAGGAGAAGCTTCTGGATTTGCTGAATCCTTGTAAGATTTTTTAAAGTAAATAATTTTTTAGCTTGAAAATCTTATTGTAACCTTTTCTCAAATTCTGTTTTGCTCAGGGTATTGCTATCATCCCTTCAGAGGGAGCCTGTTTGAGCCAGAGGATCTGATTGGGTATAAGCGCAACGTTTTCAAGCATTTTGGTTTGGACATACAGAAGTTGGACAAAGATTCAAAGCATTTTCTTCCGGTTCCGGGTTGCGTGGTGCAAGACTACACATATGGTTCACCCCAAAATCGTCATCAAGGGGCAAAATTGAAAAATTCCGGAAAAGGGCCTTGTGTTTTACTTCTTGGCACTTCCTTAACTGTTCCTTGGAGACTGTCTGAAGGGCGCAATACGTTTTGCGACAACATTCGGCCTGAGAAGGCCACAACCAGAGCGGTCTTTGACTTCAAACATCTTCTTGCTGGGAGGGGCATAGAATTGTATCAGGTAGAGGAATAAAACATTCTTTTTGCAAGTTCTCCTTTTAGAACACGGAATTTCAATGATTTTTCTTTCATTTTCTTTTCAGTACTTGTTAAGTGGATGGTCCGCTTTGGTCGGCAAGGGACAAGTAGTTTCTCCTGAGGAAATGCGTAACAGAGTGTACGCGGATCTTCATTTGAGTTCTTCCTTCCGTTTTACCCATGTTTTTGTTAGAGTGGGGACAAACAATTTAAAGAATTTAACTGAACCTGACGTCACTCGTCATTATCCCAACTTTGGACATTTTCTTCAAGCCCTCTATGGGTATTTTGATGAACTTTCTTGTGCTTTTGATGCACCAGTCCTGGCTTTGGGTGCTTCTGCTCCCCCTGCATTAGCACAAGGGAGTAATACATACTTGACAGGAAAAATGGATCTAGACTTGCAAGGGGTTCCTCTAATTCCCCTTAGGAATAACGGGGTTCCAATTTTGAGTCAAAGAGGGCGTGAAAGCGCCGGTCATGCCTTTCAGATGGCCTTGTACAATGGTTTAAAAACTAAAATTGGAAAAAGGCAAGGGGCTCCAGGCGGGAAGGGATGGTGGGCAGTACCAACTCCGGTTACGCATCTTGCAGCTTTTGATAGATCAGATTGTACAAAGTTGTCTTTTGGCCACATACATACTTGGGCCTATCTGTTCTTTGCCCAGCTTCATGCTGCGGCTATTTGCTTTGGGTTGGAGTGGACCCAGTGCCTGAACAAGACTTGGGGGGCATTTGCTTGTGCTGGCAGCTGCCCATATTGGCTGGACAGTGGGAAAACTGCTCCAGGGATTCCCCCAGGACTTCCTCATCATCATTCTACGGATCATGGTCCTAAGGAATGTTTTGGAAATGGACCTTTCCACATCAACCCGGCAGTTATTGGATCAGGAGGTGATCCTTTCAGGCAGTAAGTCTTTCGAAAAACTTGTGCTTTTAAGTTCAGTATTTAAATTGGTTTTCTTTTCTCCCTTTCAGGATGGACAAGTTCTTAAGTCAGAAGATGTTTCTGGAGGTCTTCTCTGCAGACTTCTTGTGCTCGGACCCCAAGAGAGCTGTGTCTGGACGTTTCATCGTGGGATCATCAGTTTGAATTGGAAACTCCTCTCAGAAAAAATTCATAATATCAAAAGTAGGGGACAAGGCCTGGGTTGTGGGAGAGGGAGGTCTAGAGTTTGCGGATATGCCATCTCTTTCTTGTTATGTTTAAAGAACTCCCCTTTTTTGGGGGAATTGTGTTTTCTTTTGTGAAGGGTCCCTCTTTTGGTTGAAGGGTTTTTGTAATCATGTTTTTGCACAGTTTTGTTTAATAAAAGTTTTTGAACTTCAATTGCTTGTTCTCATGGTTTCTTGCTCACAAAACTTCCAAGGCTGGTTAGGAATTTCTTTTCTGTCGTCTCAGAGTCTGCTTCTAGGGGCACCAGGTTTTGAACTGACTGATTTTTCAATAAGAATTTTGTACAAGACCCGTCAGGGTTGGTTCTCGTAGTCTCCACATCCACAGATCTAATTCTGCCATCCCTTGGGCTTTCATGAAGACTGACAATTCTGGCAAGTCTCCATTTCAATCTATTGAGAAGAGTGTTTTCTTCGAAATAATTTTTCTTTAGGAAGACAATCTGATCCACTACTGGTTGTAGGCTTGTTTCTGGACCCCGTTGAGTGGGGAATTGTCTTAACTCTCGTAAATAAGTTTCATAAAAGAAGTTCCAAATATTCTTCATAAGTTTAATTCTGTGTTTGGCAGCATGGCCAAGACCAATTTTGGATCCTTCCAGAAACTGAACAGGAGGGGGCCCATACAGTTGGGGATTAAAAGAGGGATCTGCCTGATAGGGATTGATAAACATGGAGGGTGTTACAGGCATAGGATTGTCTCTGTCGTCAGAAATGTAAGTTAATGGCCTAGACTTTATTAGTCTTTCGATGTAGGAAAGAGCTGCCATTAGTGCATTAGGACTTTTGTAAGGCAGTCCCTTGAAAACTCTTGCCAGTCTATCTTTAATTTGGCGCATCATTCTTTCATAGAAACCTCCCCACCAGGGAGCTCTAGAGGCGTTGAAATGCCATTGGATACCTCTAATTCTATTCTCAATTTGCATATGTTTTGCCCGTAAGATTAGTGGCCAGGCAGCTTTAAAAGTAGCTGCGTTGTCCGATATCAACACTGAGGGCTGAACATCTCTTTTATTGCAGAATGTTTCGTAGACGTCAATAAAGGATTTCAAAGTGAGGTCCATTACTGGTTCTAAGTGAATGGCTCTGGTCATAGCACAAGAGAAAACACAAATGGAGAATTTTACTCTATCAGGTGTTTTAAAGGGTCCCACAAAGTCAATACCGGTTGCAGCAAATGGGACAATGCCATTGTATCTAAAGTCTGGGAGAGGGGCGCAAGGAGGCATAAAGGGTTTGGCGTCAAAACGCCTGCACCAAGTACAATTTTTTCTTATGGTTTTTGCCAGACATCTGGCTCCTTTAATCCAAAAGGTTTTCCCCATAAAGGTTAGAAGGGCATTAGGAGAGGCATGTCCTAAGTCTTCATGAAAAGTTTTCATCAATGCTTTCACAAAGTTTAGGGGGTCATTTTTCTTAGGGGATGGTAAATAAATGAGAGCTGATCTTGCTAGGTTTCCCTTGTAAGACTTGAAAGTTTTGTCTCTTGCTTGACAGCTGACTGAAAGAATCAGACCCAGTCTTTTGTTCCAAACCAAGTCTGGTTTTCTTTCCACTATCTCTCCCATTTTTAGAGTATTCCATTCCTCTGGGGATTTGAGTCTTTGGACCACCCTGAAAGTTTCAACAATGCCTTCATATAGTTTGCAAGGAGCAAGGTTGTTCAGAAACCCTGTGCCCTTTTTAAAGAGTCCATCAGATTGGGAATGGAAGGGCTTTCCAACTTTTGATTTGTCTAGTGAGACTCCCTTTTTAACTCGTGCCCTATGTCTGAAAAACTCTTTAATCTTTAACCAGGTTGTGGTTCTGATGATGGTTCTGCTCCAATCATCTGAGATTCCTGTATAAACCTTTTCAAGTGTAACCTCAATCTCGGTGGAAACTACTGGTTTGACTCTAGCAGCAGAAACTCCTATCTTGATGGTTTGCTTTGGCCATTCTAATGGGTGAGGTAACCATTTAGGTCCTTTCCACCATATTGAATCAAGTGTTAGGTCTTCAAGTTTGACCCCTCTAGAAGCTAAATCAGCTGGATTGTCAACACCTGGAGTGTGCCTCCATCTGGAGGGCAGGGATCCCCCTAGAATAGTTTCAATTCTGGTTCTAATATATGGTACAGATCGGATTTTTCCTGACTTAATCCATTGTAAAACTACCTCTGAATCAGTCCAAAAATGGACACAGTTCATTTTGATTTCCATGGACTTCATAGTTTCCAGAACAAGTCTCAGTCCCAAACAGGCTGCTGACAATTCAAGTCTGTTTACTCGAAATTTCTCATTTGAATCTCCTTCACAGGTTTCCCTTTGCTTGGAAGGGATAAGTTTGGATTTTCCCCTAATAAGGGTAACTTGATCTCCACAGACTAAATAAATTGGTGCACCAAGAGCTAGACCACTGGCGTCAGTGAATACATGCAGTTCTCTCTTCAGAGTAGGATCCATTGGAGGATGTCTTTCAATTCTAATTTGGTTTAGTTTTGCTGCTGACTCCCTTCTATTTTTGTGTTTCAGCCAAGGACAATTTAGAATCCCAGGCAGCTTTGGGATGTTGATCATTGAAGGTCTGAAATAGTAATTTGGCTAAGGTAACAAAGGGAGTTGCCCATCCCATTAGGTCATATATGTGAGCAATGATTCCTGCTATTTGTCTTTTGGTGATTCTCTTGAGATTAACAAA